ATCACGGAACCTCGGCCTGCTCCATTGCCCCCTCTCCCCGATTTTGAAAGTGTCATCCGTTATCTGACATACTATGACGGTCGAACAACTTCATTTTTATGCTGTAACATATAAGGAGTACCAGCTCTTGAAACTGTCCTTGAGGAGCGCGAGGGTGCTCTAGCGAACAAAATGACAGAATGCTGCCGGATACATCTGGCATGGTAGGTGTTCAAATACAATAGAGCCTTATTTTGCTTAGACACTCCTCTTCAGGCAACCAGGAGCAACAGGGCTGTGCATTGCGCTGTTAAATCAGCTCACGATGGAGTTTTATGTTTTTTGACAGAAACAACACAAACGATGCAATTGGTTTACTAGCAACAGTCGTCATTAAAATACATTCTTGCTCGGCTCAACACAATGGAACAACTTAACATCAACGCACTGCGGGCGTTACGCTATTCTCAGCTGCTAAAGTGGTCCCCTACGCCTTCAGATGCAAGGGAACGTATGACTGCGACGGACGATAGGGAAGCGAGCACTGATGTGCTTCTGAAGATGCTGCTTGTGTCGTGTCGAAGTTCTTCTTCTATACATTCTCCGTTTCAGAGCAAAGGAAAATTCACATCCGTCGTCGAATCAGCAACATTTTCTACACTCCGTTCCGTCTGATCAGTTGTGGCTGAAAACGCTGTAAGCCATGTATATTGGCCTGAATAAAACCGACTTCGAAACTACGTTAGACGATCTACAAAATCCGCTATTTCAGTACATTAACCTGCTCGTGGCCGTTGTCGGGGTGGTGTTGTGTTTCATCGCTTCTGTGTTGACATTCAGCACGTCGGCCATCCGCCAGAAGTTTCTGCTGTTCGGTGCCCTGTACGTGACCGAGTGCTCGCACGCACTGGTTCGGGTGTTCTCGAACGTGGTGCGCATATACTTCATAGCGCATGGCCGTCTTGGCGAGCTGATCCCCGTTTACCGTTGCGCCCAGTTCGTGTACCCGGTGCTGGTTGCCGAGGCCCTCGTTGCGACCGCGATGTCCACGGCCTGCATCGCTTCGAACGTGTTCCTGGCCGTCGCGTGTCCGACCTTCTTCAGAAGAAGAATGCGTTCCAAAATGCCGTACTATGAAATCATCTTTGTGTCCGTCGTCGTCGTTTGTTACATCATCATCTTGGTGGTGGTCACCGCCGTGAACGACA